GCAACTCAAGTGAGGGTGCGTTTTCCAGCTCGTGCGGACCTCCGTTCCTTCACTTCCCCTCATGCTCATGGGCTGGTTGGTTACTTGTCATTTCGCAGGGGATGCTGTGACCCTTCCTGTGAACCCTCCCTGATGCTGCCTGGAACCTGCGTCACCCTGAGGTAGCACTTCTGTTCATCTTGTCCTGGAAACCTTGGTTCACGAGGGAGACAGGAAGATGACGGTGGTGATGATGGAGGCCATTTATTCCCCTGGTACCTGCATCACACTCTGGGGTACCTACCAGGCTCATTCCCAGAGAAGGGGAGCCACATGCTGATCAGTGAAGGAGCCATGGTTTAAACCTCAGCATGTAACTGAAACCCGGTCAAGAAATCAGTCATGTTTAGCTGGACGTTTGCCAAGCCACTTAGTAGGGCTATAGAAATTGGAATGAATTTTTGGGCACATGTACCCCTTCTTCTGAAAGGCTGTTTCCTCATCTGGAAGTGGGTACAGTGACTCCTGCAAGGATCGGGGGGGCCAGGAGAACGCATACGCTGGCCACCTCCCACAGCCACGTGCCCTCAGTGATGTTTCGGTTGAGAACAGGCCGCCTGTGTGACGCTGGCCCCGTGTCCAGCCATGGTGGGCAGCAGGCCACACCATTAGGTGTGTAATTCCACTGTGATGTTTGCACAATGAGGAAGCCACCTAACGAGGCATTTCTCAGAATGTATCCCTGTCATTAAGCCCCATGACTTGGTTCTAGAAAGGACGAATGATGAAAGTTTGTAGTTTTTACAGATCTCTTCTGGGCTCATGCAAGCATCACATACCTCACTGGCAAAAGAGGTCCTGGTCCTTTCAATCAGAGAGGCAGTGGGGTGAGGACTGTGCTGATCTGGAGGCATGGTCGTGATTCCTCTTCCTTGGGGAATGCACCCCTGTCCTACCAGAAAGCCATTGTCCCCGAGAAAAGCCAGAAACCCAACTTTTTAAATGCTTCTGACTGATGAAGAGGAAGCCCTGGCCGGCTCCCTCACACCTTGGGACAGTTGCCGTCACAAAGATAGACAGTTGCAAGTGCTGACAAGGACATGGTGCAACTGGGGCCCTCATCCCTGCTGGCAGCTTGTAAATTGTGGTCGCTTTGGAAAACAGTCTGGCAGCTGCCTGAAAGGTCAAACAGTTACCCTGGGACCCAGCAATTCCGCTCCTAGGTGTCGATCAAGAGAATGGGGAGCTGTTGCCACACAGCAGACGACAGCAAATGTTCCCACAGCATTGTTCATAACAACCCAGATGTCCAGCAACTGAAGGATGGATAAAGAAAATGCGGGGTACAGTGGGGTCCTGCTTAGCAATGACAGGAGTGAAGGGTCGATTTGGGCTAGTGCAGCCGGACCTGGAAGACCTGTTGAGTGGGAGGAGTCAGACACAAAGTGTGGATGATCCCATCAATGCTAAAAATCCAAAATAGACACATCTGTATAGACAGAAAGGAGTTCACGCTGGCCAGTGGGGAGACACTGGGGAGGGGGATCTGGGCAGAGGCTTCTGGTGGGCACAGAGCAGAACAGGTGGTGGCGGTTGCCCCTCTCTGCAAAGAGACTAAAACCGTGCGTTGGACACTTTGAAGGCAGAGGTGTGATTGCCCAGTAAAGCTGTTAAAATAAAGCATCCGACAGCTCAACTGGTCAGAGGCCCCTGCAGGCCAGGTTTTCCTCAGATGAAGGAAGCCATGGTCCTGTCTGGGCTGTGTGGGGCTGCCCCAAGGCTGCGTTTCCCCAAGGGGCTTGGAGCACCAGAGAAACACCCCAAGGCTGGGGAGTTGTTCCCCAACACTTCCCTTTTTGCTCCTTTTAAAAACAAACAATTCAGAGCACACAGAGGAACATTCTGCTCGCTCTGCTTGTAGCTTCCAGCTCCCCAGCAGAAGGAAATGGTACAGGGAGGGCCTGTGGTTTGGGTCAGCTCCAGGGGCCCTGCTCAGGCCTGGCGTCCTCTCCGGTGCCCCGTGTGAAGGTTCTGGAATCTTGTGCACGTGCGTGGCGGAGTAGGAGCTGCTGTCCTCCCCTTCCTTTTCCCTGACTCACCTCTGGGTGAAGTGAGAAAGAGGAGCTTTGTGAGCCTAAGAAGATGTGGGGTAGGGGGAGGGGCGGCCGGGCTCACTCTGACCCCGTGGCCCTCGTATTCAGGCCAGGGCTGTGGAGTCAGGAAAGACACCAAGAGCCCCACGGGGAAATTTGAGCCTCTCCTGCGGGCCAAACAAGGAGCCTTAAAGTCAGGGTGGTGGACAGACCACGGGTGGGGAGAGGCAGGAGCAGCTGTAAAAATTCCTGTGTCCTGTGACAGGGCAGAGGCTGACCTGCATCCTGGGCTGGGCTTATGACTGGCCCACATTGCCTCACTCATTGCCATCCTATTGTGTGCAGAATCGGGGGTGGGGGGAGGAGACGGGCTCGATTCCAGCAGAGATGAAGTCCTAGTGGCTCCCAGCAGAGATGAAGTCCTAGTGGGAGCCACGGTGCGTCAGGATGCGATATGACCAGCTCAGCGGGCCACGCGAGAGAATCTGAGGAGGCAGAGCATGGCGAGTTGCTGGTGACCTGGGACAGGGTGTTTCGGACGGGGTGGTCAGGGAGAGCCGCTCTGGGGCGACACTTCAGATGAGACTTGAGTGAGGCCCTCTCCCATCAGAGGAAGCCCATGTGGTGGCTGTGGGCCAGTTGGCTTTGCTTTGAGTCGGTGGGGTCCATGGAGGGTGCTGAGCATTAGAGGGGTGCCCACTGGTGCCCTCCAGGTTCCAGTGGGATTCCTCTGGCCCCAGGTCTGTGGGCTGGGGCAGGGGCAGAATCAGGAGGCCCCTGCAGGGGTGCAGAGGGCAGAGGAGAGGCAGGAGCAAGAGAAATGGGAAGAGGCCGGTGTGCTCTAGCCTCGTGTGTACTGTGACCTTCTGTCCCGAGAGACAGAGGAGATTCTGCACAAACACTGGGTGAACACACACGCGTGCACGTGCACACACGTGACACACGCATGCACACACATGCACGGTACATACATATAGACGATTCTATCTATACACATACTTTACAGACATACAGAGTCCACACACATAGAGACTTGAACAGTTGACCCTTGAATAAGTTGGTGGAGGGGCCAACTCCCCTACAGAGGAAAATCTGGGTGTAACTCTTGACCCCCCCAACTTTACTTCCAGCCTGCCTGCTGTTGACCAGAAACCTTACTGATATCATCAGCACAGATACACCCACGGATGTAGTGTGCACTGTGCTCTTACAATGAAGTAGGAGAGAGAGAAAACAGCGGCAGGACCCTCCTAAAGGGCTTCACCCCTGTCTGCGTGTTGAGTGACTGAGGAGGCAGCGGAAGAGAAGGGATGATTCAAGTCCGGGCAGCAGCAGACCCTCGCCGTTCGAACGCGAGTGGTCAAGGATCGGCTGTACTGCGCATGCGCGCAGGTCCTGCCCGCGGCCGCGAGCCCTGCACCCACACAGTCCTGTGAACCCCGACACTCGCTTTCTACATGCACACAGTTGTACACATACACACGCACAGGTAGTTCATACCTGCATTTGCACACAAACAGATTTCACAGCTGTATGATTAACCAAGTTGACTTGCGTCCTAACACCGAATCAGCTGTCTTGCATCGTGAAAGGGCTCAGCTCTGGTGTTAGGGACCGCCGGCCCAGCGGTGTGACTCAGGTCTCACTTCTCTGACCCTCCTTTTCCTCAGCTTTAAAATGTGGATGACAATCCTGCCTTGCAGGGAGGACTGGATGAGATCACCATATATGCAAAACAGCTGGCCTGGCAGAGGAGCGGGGGCTATTTATTAGTAGTCACCACACTAATAATGGGGCCTGTTTTGGGGCCAAGCAAACCCCACAGAGCACCTTCCTGGAACAAGGGTGTGCACACACACCCGCACGCCCACTCTCTTGCTTGGGTACGTGGGAAAGGGGGCAGACTTGGGTCTCTGTGTGGACTGGCTGGACCAAGATCTACAGTGGAAACCTGTGAGTCAGCGACAGGCATAAAACAGTTAATGGGCGTGCCGCCACAGCTCCGGTAATGATGGAGAGATAGAAGCTTAGATAATGTCCAGGAGGCAGGTGGATTAGTCAGGGCTCCCTCAGTTGCAAGGGACAGAAACCCTTCTCAAACCGGTTTAAGCAAAAGAGAATTTATTGGGTCATGTTAAAAAAAAAACAAAACACACAACAAAAATCCAGGGGTGGGCTTGCTTCAGGCATAGCTGGATCCAGGTGCTTGAATGATATCATCAGTTTTCCATGTCTCTCTAGAAGATTAATTGAGTTAATTAGTATATGTGAGGCATTGAGCAGCACGCAACACCCCTAATGTTCTATAAGTATTAGTTAATTTATTACTACTGCTGCTGCTACCACACAGCTCCTGCTATTGTTCCCCATCGAGCCCAGCAACCCACAGGAAAGCAAGTGCTCTTACTCAACTCTTCCTATAAACCCCCCTGGACTGACTCTCGTTGGCTTAGTCTGGCTTAGTGACCAACGCTGAAACAAATCCTGAGGCCTGTGGCCAGGTTTTCTGACCACCAGGCTCTGTGACAGGTTGAGGTGACCATCCTGGGAGCTGGCTTGAACTGAGAGTGGTAAAGAGGAGGGGGGATGGGGCCTGGGCAGGCACCCCATCCTTTGGAAGCCCCTGGTCTTTGCCAGTGCCTGCCTCCTCTTGCGGAAGACCCACGAGTCCAGTTGATGTGGGACGACCTTTGCCCAAGGGTGGCCACTGGAGCTGGGTAGACGTGGGCTTGATAGCCAGTTCCATTACTTAGCCAGCGCCACCCTCCTACCACCATGAAATGGGGCAGTCATCAAACCTCCATCATTCGGCACATTCTCATGGAACACTAAGTCTGACACTGAATGACTATTATCCGATTTGGCCCTCACAATCCTGGGAACTGAGGTATGATCACCCCCTTTTTTACAGGTGAGGAAACAGCCACTGAGACACCAGGTTCTGGAGAGGCAGTGGCAGAGGGAACTCTGAATCTGGCCCCTGGCCTCGGAGCCCCAGCACCTTGGACTCGGGCTGTCTGTGCCGAGACCTTGTCTGTAGAGGCTGACCTGGCGAGGTAGGTCCCTCGTCCTTTGCTTCCATTTTTCTCATGTGTGAAATGGGGCAGGGGGAGTGTCAGCCAAAGGGGAGCAGAGTGACAGAGACCTTGGTTTACTTAACAAATATTTCTTGAGCATGTACTGTGTGCTGGACCTGAGCAGGTTGCCGTGGGCACGGTCAGGAGTGTGACAAACTCCCCGTCTTCTGGGAGTTGACTTTCCAGTGCCACACAGGCAATAAATGAGTCATTGAGTCAGCTAGATGAGTGCAATGGAGAAAATAAACGGGGTGATGGGATAGTGACAGGGTGGTAGAGGCCTCGGGGAAGGGGAGAGCACCTGAGCCGTGTCCTGGGGAAGAGAAGGGACCTGCCTGGGAAGGCCTGGCTGGGGAAGCACCTTCCAGACAGAAAACATCAAGTGCAAAGGCCCTGAGGTGGAAGCTGGTGTGATAAATTTGGGCCAGATCCCGTTCTTGCGGAAGGCTGGGAAGTCGAGATGCAAGATGAGGGAGGAACGGAGCCAAGGCCACAGAGCGGCAGACACGGAGCTGGGATGTGTGAGAAGGCTCCAGGCGCCGGATGTCTGCAGGCTCTGTGTCCCCGCACCCCCGCCTGGCTGTTCCAGGCGGCTAGGGGGGCAGCCTCCCCTTCCCAAACCGGCTCAGCTCTTTGGGGGCCACTGCTGTCCTGGTTCCCTTGTTTAATTACAAACAGCGTTTTTTGCCCTCACTTAATTATGCAACAGATGCCCTTGGGTCTGCCACCATCTGGCCCCACTGCCTGCCTGGGGATGACAGGGCCCAGGGGCCGTCCTCAGGGGCCGAGGGGAGTCTCCTGGCTGGGAGGGTGTCGAGCTTGGCAAGGCCCTGCTGGCATGCGGCTGCACCTGGCCCCGCCTCCGGTCCCCTCCTGCAGCGGGGAGGACAGTTAAGGGGCAGTGGCACTGCTGAGTGGCCAGTACTTCGCACCAAGCAGCCCTCAGCTCTCAAGGGGGCTGGGGAGTCACCCGCCTGTGTGGGAAAAGCAGAACAGCTGGGATGTAGTCCCACGCCCCCAGCCGTGGTGTGGGAGGTTGGAGAGACCCCCACTGGCGGGGGAGGGCGGAGAGGGAGGCCCTGAGAGGCTGGGGAGCTTGCCAGGGTCCCACCGCTTCCAGTGTGGGCGCCGGTTTGATCCTGGCTTCAGCCGCTCCCAAGCGCCTACCCCACTCCTTCCACACAGCACCTGGCAAATGGCAGTTTTTCAGGAGCTGTCGATTGTGAGGGAAAGACCCTTGGGGTTCACCCCCCGGGGGTCTCCCCAGGAGGCTGCCTCTGTGGGTCTGTGTCATCTCTAATGTCCCGAGTGACCGAAGCCAAATCTGGCTCTTGTAGCTGGGGGCTTATTTTCTGGCCTGAAAAAAAAAAGTAATAGCGATGCTCACTGCTAATTATTGAACCCTGGAGTTACGTGCCAGGGACTTTCCGCACGTCTCAGTTTCAACTTCTGAGGAAGATCATGCCCTCTGAGGAAGATCGTGCCCTCTGAGGAAGATCGTGCCCTCTGAGGAAGATCGTGCCCTCTGAGGAAGATCGTGCCCTCTGAGGAAGATCGTGCCCTCTGAGGAAGATCCTGCCCTCTGAGGAAGATCCTGCCCTCAGCAGAGGAGGAGCCCGAGGCGCTGTGTGGGGAAGCCCCGCCCCCCGCGTCCTCCAGCTGCGAGGTTGGGGGAGCAGAGGAAGCTTGAACCCCAGCCCGGCTCTGGCTGCAGCGGCCTCAGAGGCCTCTCGTCTCCTGCAACGCCTCGTCTGACTTCCCTCTGAGAAGCCAGAGAGGCGGAAGGCCCCTTCCCTGGGCTGGAGCTTGGACTCCCGCGGGCGCCTGGGTCACGCTGGTCCTCGGAGTTGGAGGGGGCGGGATGGGCCAGGCAGGGCTGGCAGGGACGAGGCCTGTGTCACTCTGCGCTCACCCATCAGCCTCCTAAATCATGACCTGTCCCCCTGCCTCCACCGGACCCAGGCCCAGCTCTGTGCCCCCAGACAACTGCAGAAGCACCCCACTTCTTGCCACTGTACTCCATCATCCACACTAGAATCATGTTTCCCTTCAGATCGTGTGTCCCCCCTGGGGCCCTCCCAGGGCCCCCCTTTGCGCTCAGGTAGCCCCCAGTCTCTTTCCATTTCAGCCACCTGGGTCTCTTCCCCATTTCCAGAACCCCCTCAGCAGAGCCTTAATGTTTGCTGTGCCGTTGCCCGGGTCGCTGGGCCCGCAGGTCACAAACTGCCGGGCTCTCGGCTCAGCGCCACCTCCTCCGGGAGGCCCTCCTGGACTGCCGGAGCTGACGCACAGCCCGTGCTTCCCACACCCCTCCGCAGCCGGCCCACACTGACCAGCGGGAGCTTCCAAATCCCAAGCCTCAGCAGGCCCTCTGCCTCGTAGCTCTTCCCTTTGCCGGGGTACCCCACCACCCCCAAATCTAGAGCCCAGGCCTCTCCCTCCTCCCCGCCCTCTTCCCGAGCCCTGCTTGCACCCTCAGCCCAGTCGGGTCAACCTCTGTTGCTCTGTGGACCGGCCTGGGGCCAGGTGGCTCAGCCTCAGCTCGCTTTCTGTGGGGGCTGTCCTGAGCCCCGAGGGGTGTGTGGCAGCTCCTCGGGCCTCCGGCCACGAGAAGCCAGCAGCACCCGCTCGCTCCCCAGCTGTGGCAGCCCAGAATGTCTGCAGACAAGGCCATGTCCCTGGGGAGAGCCAAGTTGCCCTGGTTGGGAGCCACGGGTTCGGCTGTCACTGGCACCACCCCCTCTCCAGGGGGCTCCCTACCAGCCTTCCACCCCCGTTCTGTTCAGTCCTTCCGTATGCCAGGTTTCTTTCCCACAAGTTGCCTGCCCAGCCCCGGGAGGGGCAGGAGCCTTCTAGGTGCCGCCGCAGTCTGCCACTGAACTCGAGGATGCCAACATGTCACTGTCAGATGGCCTGTTTGGCCCCTCGACCCTGCTCCCCCAAACCCCCAGGACATCAGTATCCACAAGGCCATGCTTGTGAACAGGCTGTATCTGCTTTCTCCCCAGTACCGAGCGCAAGGCCTGACAGTCAGGGAGTCATTCAACAAACGTGTCCAAAGTCCACATAACTTACAGGAGCCAGGCACACTGAAGAGTGTCAGCCACGGTTCCTTGGTGGGACACAGACAGACACGCCGAGGGCTGGCAGGCAAATGCATGCTAGGGGCAGTGCTGCATGGGGAAGCAGAAGCATCTCACCCGAACTCGGAGGGTGGAGTCAGGGTGGGCTTCCGGGGGGAGGTGACTTCTAGAGGATGAGAAGGATGACCAGCAGAAGGCGTGTGGAATGATGGTTGTGCAACACTGCGAATGAGCTAAATGCCACTGGGTCCTTCACTTTAAAGCGTCTTACGCGCTGTGTGAATTTTACCTCAGGAGAGGAAAACCAAGGTGCGGCCAGGGTTCTGGGGAGAGGGCATGGGGTGAGCAGAAGTGTGGGGGCTCGTGGAGTGTGGGGCCTCGAGACACTGCAAGTCACAGTCTGGCGCAACCTCGGCTGGGGGTGCTGGCGGGATGTGGAGGGCAGGGGCACCACAGGGAGGGGTGGGGCGCCGTGGCCAGGTGAGGGGTTCATATCTTTTTTCTGAGCTGAGAATCATGGAAAGCTGTAGGCAGAGGAGGGGTGGGAACTACCTGGCTCCGTCCGTAGCATCCCTCCGCTGCACGTGGAGAGCAGGCCGTTGGCAGGTGAGGTGGCAGTGAGGCGCAGAGACCGTGGGAGAGGGTGGTGGGCCGGCCCGGCTGGCCACGAGGTGAGGAAGGTGTGGCCCAATCTGAGAGGTATGCAGGGCGTAAAGGGAGATGGCTTGTCTGCCCTGGGAGAGCGCACCTGCGAGGACAGTGACCCAGTGGCCTCGGGCAGTACCGCTGGGAATCCTCTGTGGGGGCAGGTGCGGGGCCCACGTCTGCCCCCCAGGGCCTCTGCTTCCCCTCCAGGCCCCCTCAGGTGTGGCCCGGCTCTGGCTCTTCCGCTTCTCCCGTGTGCCCCTGGCCAGTTTCTCTCTGGGCCTTCTCTGGAACATCTGTGAGTCCTGTCTGGGAAGAGCGGATGGGAAAACACCAACACAGGCAGAACCTTGAAGAACCTGTCCTGCCGGCTTCCCCGCCCCTCCCGGGTACTCAGCAGGTAGAGAGGGCGCCTGGGCCAGACCTGTGCCAGAGGAGCCAGGCCAGGCCCTGCCCACCCGAGGGCCCATGGGGTCCAGACCTCCAACCCCAGAGGCTGCAGCCCCAGGCCCAGCCTCAGACTCAGCGCTGCACTCTGGCCGAGGTTGTCCAGGCCTTGAGGGGCGTGGGCCGGAGCCAGGGCCTGAGTGCAGATCCCAGCTCTGCCCTCCCTACTGTGTAGCTTTGGGCAAATGACTCAACCTCTCTGATGCCCAGAGAGGCCTGGTGAGGTCACATGCCATACCTGTGGGGCTTTACATGTACGGCGGGGAATAGGCCCAGCAGCTGTTTCGTTTTTCTGTTTGTGACTCGAACATACAGTTTATCTCGTGCTGTCATTCTGCCAGGTTGGGGGACACTGCATCTGGTGGTGGAGCCCCACTTCTCCAGCCCTCGCCCCCCTTGACCTGAGTTCCTGGGGCTTGGGGAGGCCCGGTTGTTGGGACAGGAGTGAGAGCAGAGGCGGGCCTGCAGTGGGCTGGTTCCCACAGGAGGCCCGGATGGCTCCTGGCTGTTCCTCCTCACTGCCTGTGTCCTGGGGTCCTCTGCTGTTCCTGGCAGCTCCCAGGCTGCCTATAACCCTGGGCCACCTTGGGGTTCAGTCCAGGCCCAGGCCTGCCACATCCCACTCTGGAACCCCACCTCTGGTTCTGGATGGGTTCTGTCTTGCCCTCCACAAGATGCCAAATAGGGCTATGGTGGTGCAGGGGTTAAAGTCTCTTCTCTGTCAAGCTATCAGCAGCCACTGTGGCAGGAGTTTGATCCCCGTCAGGGAGTGACCCACATGGTGCAGCAGACCTCTCCTGTCTC